TATCTCAAAGCACAATTGAATTTTTAATGAAAATTAGAAAATACCAACTTGAAAAGGGTTAAAAGTTACTCATCATTTGACATTATTGTCGGTGTTCAAAAGAGAGAAATGTCAAAATCACTTCTACCTTATTTAATATGCCTTGGATAATGTAAATAACGCTAGCGATCGCAGAGCTCGTAAAAAATATAACTCTTCCGAGCGAGAGAGTATTTTGATGTATTTACGAGCTCTATTTTATAAAAACCAAAGTATGTGACCAGAGACACCCCCAGGGGGGAATTATCTCCCCTCTACTCTGAAATTCACCAGTGAACACCATACTTCTAAGCCTAAAGAACACCGGTTGTCAAGTCATATCGTACGCCGATGACATAGCAATCGTTGCAACGGGCAAACATCTTCAGGTCCTGAGTGAGTTATTGCAAAAAGCACTCGGTGTGGTAAACATCTGGTCCCTCCCTCCCTTATTTAAACCTCCCACTCTAGACGGGGTGGCACTTACTCTCTCAACCGAGGTCAAATACCTTGGAGTTATTCTGGACAAGAAACTGGACTGGAAGCGAAACATTGAAGACCGCTCCAGGAAGGCCAATACTGCCCTCTATGCCTGCAAGACGGCTATAGGCAAAAAAATGGGGAATAAAACCACACATAGTACACTGGATGTACACAGCTGTGATAAGACCCATCCTTTTCTACGGGGTCACCGTATGGTGGCCTGCGCTAAACAACACCTTATCCAGAGCCAAGGTGGAAGGTGTGCAGAGGACGGCTGCCATGCTCGTCACGGGAGCCCTGGCCACTACACCCACCAAATCTCTGGAAATAATCTTAAATCTTCCACCTTAGGATCTTTATGGCAAATTTCGGGCCGGCTGTAGTGCGGTCAGGTTAAATACAATCCAGCCGTGGAGAGACCGCAAAAGTACTTGAAACTCTACCGGATAATCTACGACAGAGATAGATTATACCACTCATCTACTCTGTTTAGATAACAAATTCTCCACAAGAATCCCAGAGAGGAACGAGTGGGAAAGGGCCACAGACCTGAACCCAGGGACTACAGCCATATATACAGATGGTTCCAAGCTTAACAAAAGAGTGGGTATACTCTGACGAACTCGCGCTAAATCTTAGTTTTCGCTTACCGGACCATTGTAGCGCAAGAGGAATTAATCGCCATAATGGAGGCGGCTCGGTGGCTTATAACCTCCGCCCCTCCAGGACGGCCTATTTCTATCTATTCTGACAGCCAGACTGCTATTAAATCTCTCAATTATAACGCAGCAACGTTCAAAGTAGCCATAGAATGCAGGAAGATTCTCAACCTGCTGGCATAAAAATACTCCTTGACTGTTGTATGGGTCCCTGGACATAGGGACATCCCTGGCAACTGCCTAGCCGACGAGCTGGCAAGGAGGGGGGCGGAAATATTTGTAGTTAATTCTGATAGGAATATGGGCATACCTCCAACCTCCTGCAAACACAGACTAAAGGCGAAACTCGTTGAGGACGTAAATATAAGGTGGGCTGTGGAAACCACCTGCCATACTACCAGGCAAATTTGGCCAAAGATTGATGTAAATCGATCCATAGCTCTCACCCGACTGGACCGCTCCTCTCTCAGATTAGTAGTCGGGGGTAAACACCGGACACTGCCTGATGGGCTCACACGGAAAAAGGTTAGGATACCCTACCAACGATTTCTGTCGCCGTTGTAGAGGCGAGGAGGTGGAGACCATCGAACACTATCTCTACCAGTGTCCCGCCCTGGCCAACATGCGCAACCAATTCTTCAACAAGTACTTTCTAGATTGTTTAGCCGATTTGAACTCGGCGAACGTCTCGACTTTTTGTGCTATATAAAACGCACTCGGTGGTTCAATTACTAAGGGGGGGAAAAAAACAAATGCCTTCGGCCAGTGGTATCACAACGCCCTTTTCCAGGCCACGTGCCAGCCACTCTAATCTAACCTAACCTAACTGAACGGAGTGAACTGTCACATAATTATCTATTGTATGTTTAACAAGTAAATGCAAATGTTTATAATGCAATCCAAGGCGAATTTATACAAGGTGGTAGCAAAAATACAACAAACAACAACCACATGTATTTTGTATCAGGGGCAAAATGTCAAATTTCAATTCGCCTCAAAGTTTATACATATGTATTTTGTTTTTGCTATTCAGGGGCATGCTGTCAAATCAGTAAAAGCAAAAACAAAATACATGTAAGGCGAAGTAAAGAAGAAGAAATCAGCAGATTGGACAACACCACCTTGTATAAATTCGCCTTGATGCAATCAATAGATTCTTACGAATTCGCCGCGATTTGTTACGATTCTCCCCGTGCAATATAACCAAGGCACTAAGTAACGTACGCACTTTTGTTTTCAAAATGCATTTATTTAAGTTGAAAGAAGACAAATTCCTTTGTTCCGCATTTCTTCTTACTCGCTTTCTATCTTCCAAGGCGAATTCATACTCTTACCACGAATTCATATATTCATGTGGTAGCAAGAGTATAAAAACATAAAATTACCTTATAAATTATACGCACAATTATCACGTTATTGTGTAGTCCTATTCACGAAATCATTTCATGGATCTGAGTAAAAACTCAGTGCATAAACTCCATTTCGCGTATAACTGAAATCATGAAATTGTGTTCATGCACTCAGTTTCTACTCAAGCGCATGAAATGGTAGTAAATGGCAGTATGAAGTACAAAAAACACATCATTTTGACATAATGCAAGCCTTAAACGTTGCGACAGTTCGTTCAGATCGATCTGCAATTAAGTTGAACCGTTTGTCCACAAACATTGCAATTTTGCGAGCAGTCTCATTGTAAAATCTCATTTTTCATACAACCAAGACACAAATTCATTCAACAGGCCCACAAACGGTGCAATCTAGAGCAAATCATCACCAAGTTGAATCAACGGTCTTTACGTTTATGACTTTATTTAAGAAACACCGGGGCGAAAATTTCAACTGCTCATGTAACACTACCTTATATGAGTTCGCCTTGCTATCATCCTCACATATGTTCATCAGAATATATCAACGAAAGTCGATATGGTCAGGGATGTTGCGAATATTTGCATTCGCATTGTTATGCGAATGATTCGGATCATTTTACACATTCGCATTCGCATCAAATGATACGAATGTTTTGCGAATGCGAATGTGTACATGGGGAGAGAGTCCACTCTAATATTTTTAAAATGGCTCTAAGTCTGTCTAACCAGGGTGCGGAGAATAACCGGCTTTTAGCTTCAGGCGTTAAACGGTTAAGTAGTATATCAAGCCACGGTGCAGCGAAACAAAGGTGGCGCCTTCCGCGGACCGCTAATCCCCTCTTTCTCGATTTGACTGCATCCACCCTTTCGCTGACGTCACATTATTATTTTTTCGCACAAACGATGAATATTAAATTTTCATATTGTACCTATTTGCCGGAAAGTTGTACCTAAAAGTAGATACACGTACCTAAACAGTAAACATGTATTTTTATGTGCATCTATTTTTTATAGTTGGTGGGCTACATCTTTCTTCTGTACCATAACAAATTTTTGACTTACATGAAATAACATTTTACTGCGTTCCAAATATACCTAAAACAATAAGCTTGTACCGAATGTACGTTCAAATTTAAAAGCTGAAGAGTAGGTAGAATTCGACCTAGTTTTACATCACTATTTCGCACTACTTGTTCGCTTCTTCCTCTTTTTCTTCAAAATTATTCTTTACACTCTCATTCTCATAATGTGACGTCACAGTTCAGTTGCTCTCAGCTCGATTGGCGCAATCTTATATTCTATCATTCTTGTGTATCAAGCAACATTAATGGGTCTTCAACAAGTACTGCTAAAAGTCTTATAAGCAACCTAGAAATAATTCTAGATTCCTCCAGCGAAGGCAAAGGCTCAGATGTAGAGTCTGGAGACATTAAAAAATGTGAAATTAAAGCTCAATTGAAGGCCTATCTTAAAGAAAAACGGGCTCATCTCGGTGAAAATCCTCTCCATTGTTGGAAAACTAAAATAAAATACGAAAAATTTACAGATCTGGCCCGCAAATTTTTGAGCGCTCCACCCGCCAGCATTCCACGTGAGCAACTGTTCAGTGCAGCCGGCCTTATACGAGTCTCTAAGAAATCGCCTCATCGGAGAAAACGCAGCAAAATTAATTTTTTTTTAAATATCATATGTCCCTTTGAACTTTGACTACTAGATTAAAACACTTTATAGGTTAAGCACTCGCTCAATGTTCTAATAATTTACAACATTTTTAAGTAATAAAAACGATGACTTAAGTTCATTATAGCATTTTTAATGTTATTCCTAACATTTGCATTCGCATTCGCATTCTCAAAATTCGAATTCGCATTCGCATTCGCGAATGTGAAAAATATGACATTCGAAGCAAGGTGGTTTCGCAACCAAACACACGTTTATATAGCGAGCCGTTTGCTCCAAGACAGACACCCGCTTGCAGCCGCACCTACTGGTGAACAGACGCTGCAGAGTTCAGTGAGCCCCTAAACCGAATAAGTCGGAGTGGCCCCACCGAAGCTCCCTCTCTTTCTGTCGTGACCCAAGGTTCCACTCGATTGGTTACCGCATCTCTCACGTGGGTTGCTCACGTTGCCCAGAGTGCGCGAACGAGGACGCAAGAGCCTAGTGATGTGCTGAATTGCCGGTACCCAATATTCGGTATTGAATACTTCAGAAAGATTTCGGTACCCAATACCGATTCTATACAGAATTGCACTTCACTCTCCATTTTTGCGATACCGCCGCCTAAAAAGTTTCCTGCAAAAATAAAAACTTTGCTATGCAAATGTCCTACCCTTGACTTTGGAATGATTTTTGCCTCTTGATGAAATATCTCCGTGTCTCAGGGAAAATATAAATCTGCATATATATCAGTTGTTTTATTATAATTCATAAACATATTAGTGGTATTAATTAAATCGTTATTAATTTTCAGAAATTCTACAGATACAATCAGCTTTCGGGAAAGTCAGACGATGAACCTGAGAAACATAAAACCGCTGCTATACCATATTGGGATATTTTCAAAAAAACATCTTTGCAACTATACAATGTGTTCTGTACTTTTTTCGTGACTTTATCGATTTTTCCTTCAGTACATTCAGGTAAGTTTTTTACTAATGCTGTGAACCCTTAAAATACCTACATAGTATACTGTGTGTCAAATAAAACGAATGTTTTGTTTTTTTTCGGTCCTATATGAAAATTTCACTGTCGGTCACGAAAAATAATTGTAGAAAAATGTCAGCCCTATATATCCATTTTAAGTTAGCGCTCGATAAATAAATTTTTAATGAAAAAAACTTCGGCTACTTTTTAACCGACTTCAAAAATATGTGAATATTTAAATTGTTTTTTTTTATGTATGATACCGCATAATTTTGGACTACGTTAACCGATTTCTATAATTACTTTTTTAAAGGAAACTGAGGTGGTCTCATACTAATTTGTTTTATATCCAATCATTGAATCATGAAGAAATTAACGGTGCTCTTGAATTTTTATATGATAATTGAAGTCGGTTTTTTATTTTTTGCTTAAAAATTACTAGTTTTTAAATAAGTTTGTTAGTTGTGCTGGCTCGAGGTCTAATGTTTTTGGAAAACTAATTAAAACACAAGTTTTAAATTTTTTCCGATATATTTCCGTTACCCGGCTCTAACAATAATTAAACACTAACAGGCCTATTCTGCTTGTAACCAAACATTTTGTAACAAGCTAATTTTGTTACCAACAATTGTCACCACTTCTTGCAACCGCAATTCTATTTACCTTGGTAACGTTTTAACTTATTCAGCAATTCAGCTATGGAGTTTTGTTGAAATTCGGGTGTTGCATATTTCACGGGGCAATATTTTGTTCCTCATGATCTAGTGAATTGCAGCGGAATAGCTGCGCTTGATTGTGTTGGCATAACAAAAAAATTAAAAAGTGGAAAAAAGCAACGATAATTTACAAGGCGAACTTAGCACAGTGCATAGGCAACTGGCTGAGTCAGTGGGACCGTCGGTTCGAAGTCTACTGAAAGAAGTCTGATGAGGAAATGTGGTGATTTCCGAAGTAACTATCACTTATACCATTTTTTCACATTATTGTTGCTTTTCCACAATAAATTTTTCATTAAAAACGGCCTCAAGCGCATTAAAAATTGTTGAACATAATTGTTATAAGGCCATAAAATAGCAAAAATTAAACATTTTCGGTATTTATTAGAAGGACGACAATTTACTATTTTTACGGATCATAAGCCCTTGATATTTGCTCTAAATTCCAAAACTGAAGGTAGTCCAAGGAAAACAAGGCATCTTGAGTTTATCGCACAATTTACGAATGATATACAGTACATTAGAGGTGAATCAAATGTTGTGGCTGATACTTAATCTCGAGCTTTTGAAGTTGAAGCGATAAGGAATTCAGAATAATTTCAAAATTTTACAAAGTGAACAACAAGATAATGACAACCTTGTATCTGGACAAACATTTCGAAATCCTAAGCTAGTAAAAATTCCTCTTTTAAATTTCAATATCTGGTGCGAATCGTCAGGAGATTATCCTAAAACATTCGTCCCAAATAGTTTACGAAAAACAATATTTAATAAGTTACATGTGATAGCGCATCCGGGTACCAAAGCTACTCGTCGATTAATCATCAAAAAGTATTTTTGGCCCAACATGAATAGAGAAATTAAAGCATGGCCAAGAGAATGTATCAGTTGCCAAAAATCTAAAGTTTATCGGCATACAAAGTCTTAAGTGAGTAAAATTCCAATACCGAAGAAAATATTCGAGCACATTCATTTAGATATTGTAGGACCTTTACCCATTTCAAAAGGACATCGATATATTTTAACTATAGTTGATAGGTTTACTCGTTGGCTTAATGCATACGGATTAAGAGATATTTCTGCAGTGACAATTGTGAATAAATTTTTACGTGAATATATTCCTCGTTTTGGTGTACCGTTAGAAATAACAACAGATCAGGGTACTCAATTTACTTCTAAATCATATTTACGTTCCGAAAGATTTACAAACATGCAAATTTGTTTTTGTACTTTTAGTTCATGATAAAAACATAGCAAGGTAGAACCGTTCTCTCAATTTGTCGGCCATGATTTTTTTTTTGAAGTTTGCCAGCATTTTAATATGAAAAATTGAAATTGTTCGAAATTATTGTTGCTTGAGATTGAAAATGAAAATATGTGTGTGAGTTTGAGAGTAAATTTAAACATTAATATGTTTGGAAACGTCAAGAATTTTAAAAGTAACTCTCAGCGGTTCTACCTTACTATATTTTTATCATGGTTTAGTTAACAACCGTTCTTTACAACCACCTTATGAAGGGCCATATAAGGTTATTGAAAAGAACAAGAAGTATTTTCAAGTAGAAATTGATAATGAAATAAAAACTATTCCGATTCACAGGTTAAAACCAGCGATGATTGAAACTTTACCAGAATCTAACACTTATTATTACAACAATATTGGAACAAAAAAGAAAGTCACATTTAATTTATTTAACGTAAATTCTCTGGAAGGGAAGTAATGCAGGGATCTTATTGTTGTTATTTATTTGTTTTGAAATGGTTCTACTTTTTACTTATTCCTACTTTGTATTAATTTTTATTTTAAAGAATATTAGAATGTTATGTTGTGATTTCTTTGAAGAAGAAAATTTTTGATATTCATTGTAAAATTTCATAAAGAATATTCTGGTTATTAAAATAAAATATTTTTCATTTTTCAAAAAAGAACAATCCTACAATTCCAATAACGATTATTAATTGGAATTGTGATACTACAGTGGTCGTTAGTGGGCGGCGCCACGCCCATTATCCAAAAATTTGTAATAATCAATTTTAATGCTAAGACTTTATTCCAAGCATCGATTTTGAGTGAATTAGCTCCAGTAGTTACTGATTTATCGCAGTTTTCGTGTTTCTGTAAATTATCTACCGTTATATGGTAGGTGGGCGTGGTTATTGCCCGATTTCAAAGAGTTTCAACAGATTTGTTAGATATACCCTAAGAAAGGCTCTTACCGGGTTTGGTAGGGATTAGTGAAGCGGCTACTGAGATACAGAATTTCAACGTAAGTGGGCCATTTAAAAAAAAAAAGTTTCATAATCTTATTTTTCACCACATACAAATTTTTAACTATTTGGAGACAATATTTACTGAAATATCGTAGATTTATCTAAATATGTATGTAGCTTAAAATGACCAAATTTTAAAAAAGCGGGATCAATCTTCTTATCTGGAAACTCGGCACACAAGCTATAAAAAAAGTAGAATCAATGCCAGGCAAAGCCGGTCACTAGAACAAAAACGTTTTTGGAAAAAAAACTTGGAAAAAATTTAGTTTCAGAATATCACTTTTAAAATTTGAATAAAGAACGCATTAATGACTAATTAAAATTTAAAATACATAAAGATGGCACCCAGTTACTTGCTCCATAAGAATCCATGGCTTTATTTTCAAAAACTTTGCCTAAAACTGTAAAAAATTTTATTTAAAATGCATCTATACTGAGAACGTTTCAAATTTTCGTAAGCTATGCACGAATTTGCTAAGTTTACATTGGCTGTAGAAACTTGGTATTTTAATCATGAAAATAAATTATTATCGAAAATAATGCATTAGTCTTGGCGTACTAAAAATAAAATTTTGTTGAATTCGGGCCAGTTTTGGGAAATGGGGTTTTGAGCGGCCAGATTAATGAAATACGCCTATGTGCGCCGATACTATACTTGACCAGTTATGTGTAACTATACGTGGAGATACTAATCTACTGTATATATGTGCGTCCTATATTCCGCAACTTAGTTTTGATAAGGTATATGCTGCGCAGGTGGACAATATAAGTAATATTTCAGTTTCAGTCGGTTCAGTCAGTGAGAGTCTTCTATACGTTCTTGGCGATTTCAATCTAAATATGGTCTATGGTACATAATAATAGTTCTCTTATGGCCTGTAATGTCAATAAATCACACCTAATTTACCTAATTGATAGTCTTCTCGGTGCGGACTTCGTACAAATTAATTCTTATTTAAATAAGCTACCTAGAATACTAGATCTAATCTTTGTCAGTAATAATTTTGATTTCCACATGACTGAATGTGATTTCCCAGTTTCTGAGCCAGATATGAATCACTTACCGCTAGTCCTACAAATAAACTTTTATAATTTTCATTCCTATTCCACAGCTAGTTGTGGCCCAGATTTTAAATACAATTTATGTGACCCGGAACTTCTAAATAACGCATTAAATGCTGTTAATTGGAAAGAACTACTTAGTCAGGCCGATTGCTATCGTATCTTCTTAACTAATTTAAAGAAAATCTTCACTGAGCCCATTCCGAGTAACATGAAGAGCAACCCAAACACGTTTTGGAGCTTCATAAAATCAAAAAAACCTATATCATATATTCATGTGACAATGTCTCTAATTTTGATAAAGATGTATACGTGTTGGACGATGAAATTTATTCATACATAGATTTCGGCGCATTAAGACTAAATGTGGATGACGTTATTTCCAGTATTAGAGCACACAAAATATCTACAAAGCTGGATAATGATGGTTTATCTAGTTTCCTAATTAAAATGTGTGAATGTTCCTTATCTGCACTTATTACTTTGATCTTCAATAAATCCCTATCTATGGGGGTATTTCCTGATCAATTCAAAATATTATTTGTTACTCCTATACATAAGAGTGGGAACAAAAATATTATTTTAAATTATAGACCAATCTCTAAAGCTACTACAATATCAAAGCTTTTTGAATTATCTATCAAGGATAAATTATATTTGCAGTTAAAAATGTAATTAGTCCTTATCAACATGGATTCGTTAGTGGTCGGTCTACTTTTACCAACCTAATCGTCCTCTCGCAATCTATATCTATATATGTACATATATAAAAATGTTGTGTTCGTATGTCACGGTCGTTAAAACTCGAGAACGGCTGAACCGATTTGAATAATTTTTTTTTTGTATTGTTCGGTATAATACCAGAACCAATGATATCGCAAAAAATTGCAGGGTTGCCACCTATTTGAAAATTTTTAAATCCAATTATATTGATAAAATAGATAAATTATTACAATATGGGTATCAAATTAAAGAGGTT